TTCCTTTGTGCTTATATTAGATGTAGGTCATTTGAGTCAGCATAGTCCCATCAACATGTATTCCATGGGATGGCCCCAATTCCATTCTTTAGCATTTTGTTGTATTAAATACTGCTACAGTAAGTAGGCAATTGGCCTATTAGCTTGCTAATTTTTTTAAAAATTATATTGGGATTTTGTTGTAACAGGATTCAGTCAGTATGGATTACACATAAACCTATCAGGAAGGAGCAGGATAGGGAAGGCCAAGTTCATCATTGAAAAAAAGAAACCAGGAAGGTTGGCATATGAGTGAGCTGCATGTCCAGATAGGGCCCATGAGGTGACGCTACAGTAAGCCTCTCTTCACTTAGACACTGAGTGATACCATAGAGAGAGCACTGGCTTTGTAGTCAGGAGACCTGCACTTAAACCAATTCCTGCTATCTCAGGATTGACATTGACTTGGATTTAGAAAGGAAAAGAACCTCATGAGATCCTTAAGTTCAACCTCTCATTTTAGAGATGTAGAAACTGAAGCAAAAAGAGGTGGGTGACTTGTCCAAGGTCACACAGGTATCAAGTATCAGAGCTGGAATTTAAACCTAAGCCCCCTAATTCTAAATGCAGTCTTTCACCAATTCTGCTGCCATCTTGGTACCGGCCCCCTCATCCATTACCTCACATGGGGACTATTGCATTAGCCTCCTCATTGCTCTCCTCCCTGCCTCAAGTCTCCCCCCAACTCCAATCTACCTTCCACTCAGCTGCCAATAGGGATTTTCCCAAAGCATAGACCTAACCATAGAATGCTGCCACTCAGTTAGCTCCAGTGGGTCCAGGATCAAATAGAAAATCCTTTAATTTTTGTTTTAAGTCCTTCATAACCTTTCTTTCCAGGCTTCTGACACTTTTGTCACCAACATGTACTCTTCAGTACAGCTATCCTGGCTGTTCTTCACTTAGAATCCCACATCTCCCAACTCCCATGCCTTTCACTGGCTGTATCCTGTGCCTGGAATGCTCTCACTTCTCACTTCCTCCTCCCAGGCTTTCTTTCAAGACTCAGCTCAATCCTGCCTCCTACAGGAGACCTTTCTTTGTTTTCCATTTCCCTCCCCTCCAAAAATAAAAAACAAACCAAATATGCTAGTTCCTTCTCTCTGAGATTAACTAACTTCTATCTACATTTATACAGAGCATGTGAGATGATGCTGAAAGGGTGTCCCAAAAGTCTTAGTGCAGTTTTAAGCTTTTTTTAAAGCAGCTAGGTGGTAAAGTGGATAGGGCCCTGAACCTAGAATCAAGAAGACCTGAGTTGAATCTGGCCTCAGAAACTTACTAGTTTGTGTGACTCTTGATAAGTTACTTAATCTGTCTCTGTTTCTTCATCTGTAAATTGGGGATAATAATAGCACCTACCTCCAGGGGTATTCTAAGGATCAAATGAGATTATAATTATAAAGCACTTTGTAAATCTTAAACCATTATATGATACTATTATTATTATTATATCTTATGCATATGTGTATATACAATACATATGTATGTGTTTACATATGTATTTGTGTGTATGTATATATGTGTGTGTGTGTGTCTGTGTGTGTGTGTGTCATTGTTCAGTCATTTTCAGTCGACTCTTCATGATCCCATCCCAGGGATTTTCTAGGCAAAATACTGGAGTGGTTTGCTATTTCCTTCTCCAGCTTATTTTTACAGATGAGGAAACTGAGGCAAACAGGGTTAAATGACTTCCCCAGGGCCACACAGCTAATAAGTTTCTTAGGTCAAATTTGAACTCAGGGAAATGAGTCTTCCTGATTCCAAACCCTGTGCTCTATCCATGCAACACCTAGAGTGAAAAACTTTCTAGCAATTAGAGCTTTCCCAGAATGGAATGGACTGCCTGGGAATATGGTGGATTCCCCCTTCATGGAGGCAGGTAATGACAAGATAATAGCTTGTTGGGGAAATCTTAGAGGGAGTTAGGTAGGGGTTAGACTAGATGTCTTCTCAAATCCCTTTCAAATCTGGGATTCTGTGATAGAGTTTGGGACAGGACCTGAGCTTAGGGCCCTCACCATTTAGCCCTGGAACTCCAGAGCAAGTTGAAGGCCAGCCTGGCCAAGGTATTGTGTCATGGCCTTAGCTTCATCATGTGGGTAGTATCCTGAAGAGCAATCGTGACTGGTACAACTGCCCAGCCTGCCTATCAAAAAAATCACCAAATCCTTACATCATGTTCTTGTCCATCCCCTTGACTCCAGGTGGCCCTCTGCTCATTTGTCCCAGACAGACAAGTACTTTTTCTGCCCTTACATATGGAAAGATTTCCATTTCTAGACAGTCCTTGACTAATCTCATGTTCCTCTGAATGTAATTTCCTGCAATTGATCTTTAGTGGAATTCAATAAGGCACAAAGGGATGTATACAAGGTTGGAGTGTCCCCAAAGCTGGCAGGGATAACTGTCCCAGTTTTATAGCTGTGGAAAAGTGAAAACAGTATCTTACTGATGATGTATGTATGAATTATGTGTGTATATGTGTGTGTGAATGTACACGTGGATGTGTGTATGTATATTGTGTATTTTTTGTTATTGTTCAGTTGTTTCAGTCCTGCCAGACTCTTTGTGACCCTATTTGGAATTTTCTTGACAAAGATGCTGGAGTGGTTTGCCATTTCCTTCTCCAGCTCATTTTACAGATGAAGAAACTGGGAAAAACAGGGTTAAATGACTTGCCCAGGGTTACACGGGTGGTAAATGTCTAAGATGAGTCTTCCTGATGTCAGGCCCAGCACTCTATCCATTGTGCCACCTGGCTGCCCTGTATGTATATATACATACGTGTATACATTTCTGATGGGAAAGTCTATGAGTAACAAACATGGTCATAGTCAGCTCCATGCTATATCACCTGAAACATGAGCTGTGTATAAGCAGGTAGTTCTTTAATGTATGCATCATATACAAGGTGTCCCCAAAACCTTAGTGTTGTTAAACTGCACTAAGGCTTTTGGGATACCCTTTCTTGCATTTATCTGTATGGGCCTTATCCTTCTACTAGCCAAGGGTTCTTAACCTGGGGTCCATGAACTTTAGAAAAAAATGTTATGACAACTGTATTTCAGTATAATTGGTTTCTTTTGTGATCTTATGTATTTTATTTTATGAATTTTAAAACATTCTTATGAGCAGTCTATCCATTTAATTCAGTCAATAAACATTTATTAAGCACCTGCTATGTTCCAGGCACTGTGCTAAATGCTGGGGATAGAAAAAGAGTCGAAAGACAATTCCTGCACTCAAGGAGCTTACAATCTAAAGGAGGAAATGACAAGCAAACAAATATGTACAAGTTATACATAGGATAAATAGGAAATAATTAAAAGAAGAGGACATTAGAATTAAGAGGGGTTGAAAAAGGCTTCCTGTTGAAGATGAGATTTTAGTTGAGACCAGGGAAACAAGTAGGCAGAGATGAGGGAAAGTATTTCAGGCATGGAGGACAGTCAGAGAAAATTCCTGGAGCCAAGGGATAGATTGTCTCATTCATGGAACAACAAGGAGATCAGTGACACTGGATTTAAGGCTTCACCAGACTGCCAAAGGGATCCAGAACACACACAAAAAGGTTAAGAACCTCTGTACTTGAGATATCATTTTACACCTATCAGATTGGCTAAAATGGTAGAAGGGGAAAGTGGCAAATGTTAGAGGAAATGTGGAAAAATTGGGACACTGATTCTTTGTTAGTGGAATTGTAAAATGATGCAACCGTTTTAGAGAGCAATCTGGAATTATGCCCAAAGAAGTATTAAACAGAAATTACTTTTGACCTAACAATACCACTACTTGGTCTATTTCCAAAGATGGTTAGGGAAAGAGGAAAGGAACCTATATGTTCTAAAATATTTATAGCAGCTCTCTCTGTCGTGGCAAAGAACTGGAAATTGCAGAGATGTGTCCATCAACTGGGGAATGACTGAACAAGCTGTGGTTTGTGATTGTGATGGAATTCTACTGTTCTATAAAAAATGACGAGTTCAACGATTTTAGAAAAACATGGGAAAACCTACATGAAACAATGAAAAGCAAATTGAGCAGAACCAAGAGAACATTGTATACAATAACAGCAATATTGTTTTAAGAATGATGTTGAGGGAATAAGTTATTTTGTCTATTATAAATGTTCAAATTAACTATAAAGGACATATGAAGAAAGAATTTGTCTGCATCCAGAGAAAGAACTGATAAATAGAAGTATATGTAGAATAATTTTACAATATATGTATATGTATATATATGCATATATATACCTATACCTATTTGTGCTTAATGCTAGCCATTTCTATGGTGGGGGGTGGGGAAGAAAAAAAAGAAAAAAAATAAATTTACATGGTAATTTTGTTGTATATTTGAAAGGAATAGCAAGTTATGCATAGTAGATTTGTAGTTTCATGTATAATCATCTTTTTTATTATACTACATTGTGGAAATGCTTGTTTTATTCCATAAATTAAAAATGAAAATTTTTAAAAGGAACTTCTGCACTAGACTGTGAGCTCCATAAGAAAAGGAAACATGTGTCATCAAAACTGTGTATCTCTCCCAGCTCCTAGGCTGGAAATAGCTCCTTATCTACAGTAGGCATTTAATAAATAATGTTCGTTGAATGAATGAATAAAAAAAAGGGTACAAATTATGTAGCCTACCTATCAGATCCCTAGACACATGCCCCAGTTGTCTGTGGGCATGGGATATCCTTATTTGACCATGGAAGCATAGAAAGAGTTTGAAGAGACCTTAAAAATCAGGTTATGGAATATCTTCATTTTATAAATAAGGAAACTGAGGCCCAAAGAGGAGGAATAAAGTACCAGAAGTCATATGGTCATTTTGGTGACAGAGATGTGACTAGAAAGAGGGGTGGCACTAGAATTAAGAGATTTTGCACACTATTAGGAAGTTCTTCCCTCTACACATTGATCCCACACTGATCAATCCTGTGTTTGTTTCAGAATCTCGCCGAAGAACAATTTATGAGTATCACCGGATTGAGTTGGACACCAGCAAGGTCACCAGCACATCAGCTGTAGAGTTTACCCCACTGCCAAGTGAGTAGGAATTTTTCCAGGGGTTGTGCCATCCCAGAGTTCCCTACCATAGGACAGTCCCAATTGGTGTGGGATATGTAATCCTAGTGGAAGATGCTGCTTTAAGAAACCTGGGGCTGAGCTCCCAGGGATGGGAATCCAGGAAGACAATTGAGCCATAGCATCCCTTTACTTTGGGGAGATATGGTTTGGGAGTTCATGAGTGGAAAGGAAAAACTGAGAATCAATCTCAAAGTCTTCAAACTCTAGGCCAACAGACTTCTTTTCTTTCCCCCTTCCTTCCCCAGCTTTCTTTGAATTTCTATTAAGTGGTACTGCCACAAATAGTTACAATTTGTGGTAGCCTGGCCCATCTCAAGCAAGACCAAGCTGTTGGATCACTGATGGATATTCATGGCAAAGTCAGGACTGGAAGTGGGAGCAAGGAAGGGAAAACAGCATTCCAATTTGGATATGGCTTTTAATTTTATCATAATCCTGACTGAGTGGAAACCACTTGCAGAACACCCACAATGGTTTTTCCTAATCCCTTTTACTCCTAACCTGCCTCATTTTTTTTCTTCTTATCTTTCTTATATGCCTCCTTTTCTAGTCTTTCTCCTCCTTTTCTCTCTTCTCCAAGAAGGGAACAAAACCTCAGAAGAGAATTATGACTAAACTAGGGTGACCAGGACTTTGCCAAACCGTAACAAACGCTTATAGCTCTTATACTTCTCCAGTGGCATAAAAACAACTGAGCTTAGCATCTAGTTAGTGGGCACAATTAATGAACATAAGAATCTGCCAGCTCCTGAGTGCTTTCTCCCCTGGATACTGCACCCAAAGGAAGCTCCTCTCTGCTCGCCATAGTTTCACGGTCTCCCCAAAACACCAACTGCATTTATCCTTGAAATTGCATCTGAGGGTGCTTTTCACACTGTTTGTTCCCGATACTAGGCTCTGCTGGAAGGATTAAGGTAGGAGAAGGAGGAGGAGGAGGAGAAAGAGGAAAGGGGGGGGGGATGAAGGAGAAGGAGAAAGAAGAAGAGGAGGGAAAGGAGGAGAAAGGGAAGGAGGAAGAGGAAAAGGAAGAAAAGAAGGAAGGAGGAGGAGGATGGAGATGAAGAGGAGGAGGGGAGGGGAAAGAGGAGGAGGAGAAAAAGGGAGGAAAGAGGAGGAGGAGGAGAGGAGAAGGAGGGGAGGGAGGAGGAGGAAGGGAGGAGGAGAAGGAAAAGAAGGAGAAAGGGGAGGAAGAGGAGGAGGAGGGGAAGGAGGAAAAGGAAAGATAGGAGGAGAGAATGATTTCCGCTTCACTTTGGTTCCCATCTCAAACCCTTCAGAAAGCATAAGCTGACGCCCACTAGACTCTGAGCACATGTGCCCTCCTGCCTGTGATGGTCCTTCTGTCTCGCAAAGTAGGAGAACAAAACCACCAACAGGCGCAGCACCTCCAAATCAGCTGAAAGTGCTGCTTTACCCAGGCTCCTATCCAAAAGGATTGCAGAAATCCAAAAGAATCTCCAAAAGCATTTCAGAACTAGGGATATATTAAGAAACAGTCAAAACAAAAGAAAAAGGGGGAAAAGAAAACATCCCAGTGCTAACATGGAATTTCAGGAAAGACTGAGAAACTTGGGCCTGAGCTCCCAGAATTGGGAATGCAGGAAGGGAATCAATCCATAGAATTCCTTTACTTTGGGGACATGTGGTTTTGTAGTTCATAGATAGAAAGGAAAAAAAGGGAGTCACCCATCATCCTACAAAGCCTAACTCTCAGAATTTTTTTTTTTTTTTTTTGGTGACAAGGCCTATTTTTTCAAAAAAAAAAAAGCAGCAATTGGTAGCAAGGGCATAGATGTGCAGGGCTAATTTCCATACATAAGTACTGAGGAATAAATCAAACTCTCCTGAGACTATATTTCTGGGACACTCTCTCTGTACATTTAAATCATCTCTTCCCCAGTGAATTAAGTGACTCTTTAACCTCAAACGAGGTACCTGAAACCCATAGCAGAAATAAAGATTAGTTGATTTTATTAAAACCGTGTGATGCTTTTATTATTATAGGAGTATATATTTAGAGCTGAAAGGGACTTTAGAAGTCAGAAAATCTAACCCACTTAATTTTACTGATGAGCAACCGAGGCCCATAGAGGTGACCCAGCTGGCCCAAGGTTAAACAGATAGCAAGTAGCAGAAATCAAGAATATGAACCTAGGTCCTCTCACTCCAAATCCAGTGATCTTTTCCATTAACAAATGAGATAACATGAAAAGCATTTTGCAAATTAAAACGTGATGTAAAGGCTAGTTATGATTACTATCTTATGTATGGTTTGGCCTTAGAATTGTGACCTATCTAATGTGGCCCCACCTTCTTCCTCTCCCTGCCCCTTTCCCCCTATCCGGCTTAGACAAGACAGTAGCAGGACTGACCAATACCCTCTTCTGCCCCTTACCTTCCACCTTGGTAAGAGGAGCAAGCATCAGTGCTAACTAACCAAGGCCCAACATTCTCTTCTGTTCCCTACCCTTCACCTAGTCTACGAGGAACCAGTGGTGGGGTTGACAAAAGTCTAGCATGTCCTGGGCTATCCCCTGTCCCTGACCCATCTCACAGGAATCAGCTAGATGACCAAGGCCCAGAAGACCCTCTTTTTATTCTATTGTACCCCATCCCACATATCATCTTGCTCACACTCTCTCAGTCCAGCAGATGATCAAGGCTCAAGGCTTTTGACCTTTGTCCTGTAACACACCCCATGAACCCTATGAACAATCCAATTCATGTCACACTTTCAGTTAAGATGGCAATATAAAAGGTTGTAGAGGAGCTGAGGTCTTCCCTGAGAGAAATGATTATTTCTCTCTTGTATAATAACTAATTTTTTAATCAGGACCAAGGTTTTTTCCCTTCTCTGCTTCCTCATCCAGAAATCATCTAGTGTGGGAAGTCTTTCTCAAAGACTTACTCAGACAGGATGGTTGAGATCTAATCAAAGACAGTAAAAGAAATTCTAAGTTTAGGATAGTGGGTGAAATCCTGCTCATTGTGCTTACTCAGAGAGGTCTGGAGAAAATGTAGATTCTCCCTTTTGTCAGACAAATAATATGAAAATTGATAGGTCTGTTTAACCAAGATTTGGGTGATTCAAATCATGTCCCTTCAAGTCCCTCATTGTAATAGAGCCTACCTCTTGTAATATGCATTCTCTCATTAATTCTTAACCAATCAAAGTTAATTGACACCCTCAGGAACATTTGCTCTTCCAAGAGTATATAAACTATGAGCCTACCACCGTGAAACGTCTTTGGCATTCAAGAGTGCCACTGACTCTCTTTTTATTAAAATGCTGACATTTTTAATAAAATTACTAATTACCCAGAAATTATGTCTCTTAAACTTTTTAAATGCCACACCCTCACATACCCCAGCAAATATCCAAAAAAGGACACCAAGTAGAATATAATTTTAAAAAAAAATCAAAGCTTCCTCATTCATTCTAGAATATCACAAAATGATGACCCAAAGTCAATGGAGACTGGGAGAGAGGTTACAGCAGGCAAATCCATATAAGCCCTGGTGAGCAGACCTAAAGCTTTTGAGTAATGGGAGAAGGGCCCTACCAGGGAAGGGAAGAGTAAACAGAACAGAAAAAAAAAAGAAAACAGTGAATACTATGGGTTAAGACAAGTTCAAGTGGTGAACATAGATGAAGAGTGATTCCACAACAAGTACAAGTAGAATCTCAGAGAAAAAAAGGGGGGGGGGGTAGTAACTGCAAAGACTACAGGAATGGCTAGAAACAAATTAAGAGATTAACAAATTAAATAAATGGTAGAAAAACTTAACCCAAGTTCTGGACTCCCTAAAAAAATAGAATGGAGCATTCAAAATTCAATTACTCTATAAGACAATAAAAATATTAAAACAAAATTAGATTGAAAAATAGAAGAAAATGAAAGGTATCTATGATTATTAAAAAAAACTGTCCTAGAAAATAGGTTAAGAAAAATAATTTAGCTATTAATAAATTAATTTAAAATTAATAATAATTAATCATCAGCCTCTCTGAAAATCATGATTAAACAAAAAAAATCTAAATAACATGTTTCAAGAAATCATTTTTAAAACTGCCCAAATCTATTAGAATCAGGTGGCAAAGTGAAAATAAAACCAATCCAATGATAACTTCCTAAAAGAAACCCCAAATTAAAAACACCCAGGAATATCATAGTAAAAGTCCAGAGCTTCCAAGTCAAAGAAAATAATACTGAAAATAGCCACAAAGAAAGAGTTCACCCTGAAAAACTGAGTGTTATCCTACAGGAATGGGCAAATGTATCTTTAATAGAAAAGAGAAACCTGGAAAAATAATTACATTTGAACAACTGAAAGGACTAAATGATGATGAAATTCTGAGCTTATAAAAGGGGGAGAGGAGACAAGGGTCCCTTCAGTAACCACCAAGGGAGTAAAGCTTCATATAAACACTGAAACGGTTTTGTTGTTGACTTTGTTCTTTTTTGTTGATTTTAAGAGAGGGAGAAATGGAGAACAGGAGGAAAGAAATCGGGGAAAAGGGGGGGGGAATTTACTTTACATAATTAGGGTGCATGCAAACATGGAGGAAGGAGCATTTCATGAACCTAACTCTTATCTGAATCAAACACAGGAGAGTTAAACAGATAACAGAGTTTGGTATAGAAATATATTGAACAGGAGAAGTACAAAAGATCATTTAAAAGGAAGAACAGACATATGAGACAATTTTAAAAGTAATGGGTCAGCTTCGTGGCACCATGTTTTCATCAATAGTCCCAGTACTTGATAACTCTCTGTACTTGCTGGACTTGGAAACTCCCATGACCCACTCCAGGTGATATTGACAGCTAGATGCCTCTGCTTTCTCTCTTTCAGCCTGTCTGCAACATCAGAGCTGTGAAGTCTGCGTCTCCTCAGACTTGACCTTCAACTGCAGCTGGTGTCACGTCCTCCAGAGGTAGCGTGGACAGGTTGACTCTGATGTCTTCCTTGTGCAGGCAGGAGGGGTAAGGGGAGAGGAAAATGGTATGCCCATCACCTCCTCCATGACCTTAACACTCCCATGCCTGTTCCTCTTGTCCTGTTGCTTGGCATCATGGGGACATACCCAGCTGGGTATGAGGGAGTATGTCCTTCCCTGATTCAAATCTGTCAGACTTCCAAAGTTTAAAGATTAGCCTGGAGACTTCACAAGAGAAGAACTTTCTGTAAAACTGATAGAGGATTAGGATGACAAGCTACTGGAGAGAATGTCTAAGGACCACAGCCACTGCTGTTTCTTCCCCACCTAGGAAAAGGGTCAAATTATTCAGGAACCTGGAGCAGGATCTGAACTTGGGCTCCCATTGGCCTCTGAGAGAGGTCCCGATAGTGCCATGATTCACCAATGCCATGGAACAGACTTTCTGCAGATAGGCCATCCTTAGGACACCAGGGGAGTAGAAAGCTAGATGGAAAAGTTAGGGAGACAGTTTACAGAGAGGAACTCAGAATAAATCTTTTCTCTAGACCAGACTGGGGAAGAGGAGAGTAGGAATGCACGTATTTGAGTAATAGTTGCTGAGAATGTTTCTTTTTTTTTTCTTTTTTATTGATATCTCTTGTTTTGGACCTCACCTTTATTTCCCAATATATCCCTTTCCTCTGCCCAGCTAGGTGGCAGTGGATAGAGCTCTGGGCTTAAAATCAGACTCACCTTCATCAGTTCAAATCTGGCCTCAGATTCTTACTAGCTATGTGACCCTGGGCAAGTCACTTAACCCTATTTGCCTCAGTTTCCTCATCTATAAAATGAGCTGGAGAAGGAAATGGCAAACCACTCTGGTATCTTTGCCAAGAAAACCCCAAATGGGGTCATGAAGAGTCAGACATGACTTGAAAGGACTGAACAAAAACTGCCCCAACCAGAGAGCCACCCCTTATGACAAAGAATAAAAAAGGAAAGAAAAGGCAGTTTAGCAAAACTAATCAACCCATCACTCAAGTCTAACAGTATATGCTATGTTCTACTTCTGTAGTCCCCCACCTCTGCAAAGAAGGGAAGGAGGTACATTACTAAGAATATTTCTAATGTTTGTTTTTATTTCTTTTTCTGTTTTAATTAAATGATTTTGCTGTTTGTCAAACGGTTAGTGAAAAAGTGCAGACAGACTTTGGTTAATTTGTTTTTGAAAGCACAGAAAGTTCTGGGTTATGTTCAAGTTTGGGATTGAAAAATCTTGAAATCAAACTCATTTTCCCATTCAGAACCCAGTTCCTCATGAAGCAAATTGGGAATTCAAGCCCTGGTGTCCTAATCAGGAATTTACTTTGATAAATAAGGGACAGGAGAAAATACCCTTTTTGTATAACTAACTCTTGCAAGCCTGGAAAGCAATAGAAACTTAAAAAAAAAACCTTTAGGCAATCTTGAAAATTACAGTGTCCCACTTCCCATGAAGCTGTCATATCTTCAGTCGCTAGTTCCTTTCCTCCTTTCCAAAATCTTGATGCATAAATAGAAACTGACTGCTATGTAATCAGCTGTCTTTACACAGCACTGACACTGTCCTTAGTCCAGGGGTGAAAAGGGGTAAAGTTTGCAAATTAAATTAGGATCCTTTCCCAATAGGGGCACTTTTGCTCTTCCTCATCAGACGTCAGTTCGCCTGCCTGTTGGGTTGGGGTCATGTGGGTTGGGGAGAAGATTAGCAACTTTGAAAAACAATAAATGACTAGTACCACATGTGGTAAAAACATAGACAAGTTATTATCTGCAACCACAGGGAGCACCCACACAGATGAGATCATAAATCTACCCAAGTACCAAGTAAATCTACTAGGCACTTGGGGTATATGAGGTGTCCAAGGAGGATTAGTACCTCTGGTGTGAGGACTTGCTGAGCTCTTTTCAGGGCTGCCTATCCACCTGATTCACCCAATTCTCACCTGTGGCTCCAAGAAGCTCCACTGTAACACATACAGTGGCCACACCCCTGCAAACCATTTTGGCAGATGAGTTAAACCTGGTTGAGAGTAATGGATAGAAATCAAATCTGTCAGTGAGGTAGGGAGGTGTCTACCTCAAGCATGTGAAGGCTTCCCTCATCAGAATGGGTGGATGAGAACAATTAGTTCCAATGAGTACTTAGAACTCGGTCAGATGTCAAAGATACAAAGGTCATCCACTGCTTCCCAAGCCATCACCAGTCATTTTGACTTTTGTCCTGCCATTGGACTCCATGCCTCTGGAAGAGAGAGTGAGGCTGATGACTTTGTGCAATTCTGTCTCACCTTAAATCCAATTCATGCACAAGTCAAAAACATCACCTGTGACATCACTGGTCCTCCTCAAAAATGAAGCACAAACAACAAAATTAGGCACTTACATCTTTAAAAATGAGAAACCCAATCGAATTTATATCTACAATTCTTTGGGCAACTAGTTGGTGCAGTGGGTAGACAGCTGGGCCTGGAGTCAGAAAGACCTGAATTCAAATCTGGCCTCAGATACCTACTGGCTGTGTAATCCTGGGCAAATCTCTTAACCCTGTCTTCTGCCTCAGTTTCCTCATCTGTAAAATGAGTCGGAGAAGGAAATGGCAAACCATTCCGGTATCTTTGCCAAGAAAACCCCAAATGGAGTCACAAAGAGTCAGACACAACTGAAAAACAACTCAACAACAAAATTTCAAGAGAATGTATTGATAACTGGGGGGATTGCAAAAGGCATTATGAGATTGGAAAAGACATTTTATGAAGGAGGTGAAACCTGGGCTATACTTTGAAAGAAGTTACAACACCTAAAGTCCCTGCTTCTGGGGAGCCAGAGCTTGGTGGATTTCTTGAGTTCAGAAGTTCTGAGCTGCAGTAGGGCTAAAAACGATTGAGTGTCCAAACTAAGTCCAGCGCAAATATGGCAAAGCCCCTGGAACAGAAGGCCACCAGGCTGACCAAGGAAGGACAAACTGGTCAAGGTCAGAAAATTCAAACAGGTTAACAGGTTAATGCTTCAGTGCTGATCACTCTTGGGATTAGCCCATGGAAACCAGGCTTCTAGCCTGGGTGAGATGAGGAGGCCCAATCTCCTCCCCTAGAATGCCCCTCCAAAAAAGAGGCGAAGGATTCTCTGAGGGGAAGGTGAGGAGGTGAGGAGGTAAGGAGGGAGTGCGTTCCAGGTGTGGGGACAACCTCCTTGTACTGAGGCAAGAGATGGAATATGATGTATGGAGAGCAACTGTCACATCAGCATTTACCTCAATGTTTGCTTTTTGTATATTCCTTCTATGTAACTGTAGTCAATCTTCTGGCCCTGTTTTCTTCACCTCACATTATTTCATGTGAGTTTTCCATATTTTTTTTACATTTTTCACATTTGTTTTTCCTAATTGTGATATAGCATTCCATTCTGTTGACATTTGGAAATATGTTAAGGCATTTCCCTACTGTTGGACAATTATTTCTAGTTTGAGGAGTTTTGTTTTGTTTTTCAGTTGCAAATAATGGTGCCATAAATATATTTGAACAAATCCCTTTGTGTGCTTTCTCCCTGCCCTCCTTCCCCTGTTTTTGATGAGTATTACTCTGGTACAGTCCTGTAATGGAATGATTAAGACAAAGAATACAGTCCTTTTCACTCCTCAAAGGCAAGGATAACATTCTGTAAAGCATCATACTGTTACTTGAAGTCAAATAAATGTTGAACTGGGACGTCTCAGATGGGAGTCGTAGTGACAGAACACAGAATATATTATAAAATAAAAACTCCTATTTACACAGATCATACACTTCTGTTTCACATGTAGGCCTGTTCCCAGGCCATGACTCGTGAAGGTTGGAAGAGGGGGGTGTTGAGGGTGAAGGGGTGAGGAGGAGAGGAAGGAAAAGAGAAATGCAGCCAGAGAACATGACAGCTTAATGAGGTTTGGGTCAGCCTCAACTTTGAGAGAAATTGGCCAGGACGTAGTTGGGGGAGGGGTTTTTGCAAGGCCTACATTTTCAACTGGAGTACTGTGCAATAAAATTACAGTGTAATTCACTCAGAAGAAATGCAAGACTATAACTTTACTACTAAGTGGGAAAATATGTTGACATCACACCTCCTCTGAACCTCCTTGGCTTTCCACCTCTCCTCTTGTGACTGCTCTCAAGTCTATAACTTTTACAGATATGTGGGAAATCCTCTTTCCTGAAAACCAAGGGTGGTGCAGTGGATAGAACACAGGCCTTGGAGTCAAGAGGACCTGAGTTCACATCCAGCCTCAGATACTTACTAACTGATCCTGAACAAGTCACTTAACCCCAATTGCCTCTCAAAAAAAAAAAAAAAGAAGGAAAAGAAAGCCAAGGGACAGACAAACTCTCTACTAACATCTATTTCTTAGTATAACTTATGGATTCATCCTAATGTTTTCTCTATTTTTCCCCCTCTCATCTCCATCCACCCTCTGCTGCATTCAAAGTTCTTCCCTTTTTGTACTGAGAATCATGGGCTCATGGTTTTAAAGTGAAAAGAGGACTTAGAAGTCATCTGATTCAATTCCCATATTTTACAGATGAGGAAACTGAGACTGTTGAGGGTCTTTCTCAAGTGAAATTCAAACCCAGGTCTGCTAACTCCACATCTGGCACACTTTCTACTATGCTGTGGGAGCAGATAGTGGTGGAGCCTGATTTCAGCTAGTTCAGTCAATGTGAGGTGTCTTCCTTTCATCTCTTCCCTGAGATGTGCTTCTAGTTTGGGTCAGTGCGATATAATGCCAATAAGGCCAAATTGGCAAGTTTGATCCTTGTCAAAGCACAGATGGCCTTACCCAGAGGAAAAATCCCAGCTCTTCAAACACTGACAATAGTCAAGACCAACCAACCATCTCAAAACTGTGTACCATTAGTCATAAGAGGGACCAACATAGCACAGCAGAGAGAACGCCGAACACAGAGTCAGGAGCAGAGTTGTAACTAGGAGAGATGACTAGGCTTTGTCCCATGGTTTCAAATTTAGAGAGCTCTGACTGACAATCCTTCGGCACCATAGAAACAACAGAGCTTAGCACCCGAAAGAATTAGTCAGACTAGGAAACCACAAGATGGTGGGCTGTGGTGAACTTTCTTTCCACCATGCTCCTTCAACTGAGGGTACCACTTGTCCCAGATGCGAAAATTCTCACGTACAGCTCCGGACAGGGGCCTTGGGTTGTAGCCTTAGTTCCATCACAAACTGGTTGTGCGACCTTGGGTTAAGGGGCTTCATTTCTTCTGTAAAATGAGGGGATTGGACATCACCTGTAAAGGTCCTTCCAACTGTGATAGAAGTGGTTCTGACATGAAGAGATTGTAGGAATGACTTAAGAGTCATTGGTCCTCCCGAAAAAAGCATCCAGAGCACGTGTCCCAGTGATGTTGAGCAGATAGCAAAGTCAGAACACACCTTTTGAGAAAGAATACCTTGGAGCTCTGGAGGGAGCTTTCTTACTGATAATCACTTCTTAGCTCTCTTTAGTTTTTCATGTTATTTTTTCCCTGCACAGATGTTGTTGAACCCAAACACAGACTTTATGGATTTCCCAGGCATCAAAGACTAGAGAACAGAAATTTCAACATCATGATTTTGAGAATTATTTTTTTGTTCATTTTACCCCATCTTCCTCTTCACCTTTCCATCTTCCCCACAGGAAACTTTGGTGCCTTCCAACACAGCTGGACTAAGGAATGGCCTCTGTGGGGACCTCTGACTTCCAGCTTTTTCATCCTTCCCAGTAGGACTCTTATTTCTGGTCATTAATGGCAAAGAATTAGGGAGAAGAGTGAGCGAATCCCCCTGAGTTACTAATGAATGCTGGCATATTCCCTCTTTTTGGCAGGATTTTTCTTAGTATGGGAAAGGTATGAAGAACTCATCAAGTTCCTGCAGCCTTCTTGGGATTCTGCCTCCAGAGAAAAGTAGTGTGTGGCTGTTTTTGCAAGCCTTCAATGATTTCATTTTCTGGTTATCCCTTCAGATTTAAGATCATGAGACACACTTGTGAACTTGAATTTCCCAGAACTGTAACTAGGGCAGGTCAACTGGCACTTTGTCCCAGGGTGCAGAATTTAGAGGATTATGACAACACATTTAGTACTTTAGTAGTTGAGTTTAGAGCCAAGTTTACAAGAATAATTAGTTAAAATAGAAAACTATCAGATATCTGCCTGGGTTAAAATCTCCCTTTCCACCTGCTGCCTCCTCCACCCGCCTTGTATACCTGCATACACACTTCATGCTGTTTGCCCTAGGCATGGCTTGTCATATTTATCCTAAGTACAAAAATGCCTAGTTGCAGCTCTGGAATTACTTACCTATGAATAGCTACTTTTAATGGAAATTGTAAACAGATATCCCCATGGAAGTAATTTCATATTTTGTACCTAACCTACTGGGTGCTTCAGTGAGCCAGAGCAGGGAGAGACCTTTCACCTTGGGTTATAGCCCTAAGCTGCATTTGAAAGTATTACAAAATGTAATACTGGGCACAGAGCCCCATGTCCCTGTTTTCTTGCTTTCAAACCTCACCTGAATTTAATGCTTCCTGGGGAACCCAGATGCCTCAGTGTGGATGCTCAACACTTCTTGGCAGCCTGTCATCTTGTCTAAACTGGCTCTTCAGTAACATTAGGCTAAAGCTGCTCTGGGCAACAAACCTCAACCCACCCCAGTATTCCATTACCAGTGGGACCAAAGCCACGCATCAGATCACTTGGGATAAAGGAAGTTTTACTCCCTTTCCACCATCCCCTACCACTCCCCCATGGCTATAGCCTAAGCAATTGGGCCATTGGTCACCATGCCTGAGAAAGAGAATGTGGATGGTTCTGTATAACCCATTCCCACACCTAGGAAAAAACTCAAAGGGTACCATCCATTGCCAGTGAGAGAAGCACCTTCTAGGCAGCATTTCTGTAGCGCTTTAATATTCAAAAAACACTTTACGTGAATTATATCATTTGATCGTCACAACAATCCTGGGAGGTAGGTGCTATTATTAACCCCATTTTAAAGATGAAGAAATGGAGGCCAAAAGAGGTTAAGTGATGTGCCCAGTATTACAAAACTAGGAAGAGTCTGTGGCAGGGTTGAAACTCAGGTCTTCCTGACTCCAAGTCCAACACTTCACCCCCTGAGGCAACTATCTTCTAATCAGTCCAGAATATATTATTATTGTTGTTATTATTATTATTATTATTATTAAACTTGGACTAGGGCATCTCTTAAGTAGTTCTTCTAGCCAGCTTAGATTAATCAATAAATTTGCTTCTCCCATAAGTTGACCGACAAGGTAAAGCATCCAGGTTAGATCCTCTGTGAAGGATTCTTAGTGAGCTCATAGGATCAGAATTATAGGGCCTAGAGGCTATCCAGTCCAAGCCCTGAGCTGAGGAGCAGAGAGATTAAGTGACTTGCCCAGGGTCATACATCTAGTAAGTGTCTGTCGTGGAATTTGAAGCCAAGTGTTCCTGAAGCCAAATCTAGTGCCCTATTAGGCCATGATGCCTTTCAAAGAACCCTGCCTCCCTCAGGATCCAGCTCAGGCCCTTCAGCTTATGATTCTGACATACTCATGCCAATGAATTTAAACTTCAGGCCCCAGAATCAGGGTGTGGTGATGACTTCAAAGCCCTGTTGAACTCCCTCACTGCTCCACTTTTATCCTTCAACAAGGTAGAAGCGTTTGGTCTTTTAATAAGTAAAGAAATCTCCTGCAAATAGATAAACATTTATTTAAACAAACAAAAAATAAATAAATGGATAAGTAAGCGAATGAATGACTAGAAAAATAAGTAGTTTTTTATATTACTATTAACTTCCTAATGGGTCCTGCCCCTTAAGACAACAACAACAGCAATAAACAACTATATCTATAGTAGCATTTTTGTGGCAACAAAAAACTAGAAACAAAGCAGTCATGGGTGCTCCTAATTTGGAGAAAGGCTAAACAATTTGTGGTATATTAGGAACAGGAACTGGAGCATCTCTAGATGAGAGGAGAGGGGCAAGGGATATATAACTTCTCTTTTTTGCCCTTTTTCGTAGAGGAGAGGAGAGAAGGCTGTGTCACTGACCTCAACCCCTGCACACGGCCAGTAGCCCGGGATCATGGGAATGTGCCCCAGCTTTCTTTGAGAAGGTCATCCCACTCTAGTTTCAGTCTGCTGAAAACATGATCACTGTGGTTAGCTGTGTCTGCCTCAGGTGAAATGAATGAGGAACTCATTCACTATGTGATCAGATAAGCAACAATCTTTCTGTGGCATCTTTTCCCTGCAGGTGTTCCAGTGGCTTTGACCGCTATCGGGAGGAGTGGTTGGCATACGGCTGTGCCCGAGAGGTGAGAGAGAGAAATTATTTGCTTCTGGCCATGTGGGTTGGAATGTAGTGAAGGCAGAGGTCTGTTGGCAGGTGGTTTAGCCATGTGGTTGATTCTGTTGGCTGCTATAAAGTTAACATCTCCACCTGTGACTTGCTCATAGGCTATCTTTGAGTCAATCAGATTAGGTCTACAGAGACTGGGAGACTGAAATGTCTATGATTCCATTGTTCCATGGAACAAAGAAACATCATTAGTAGTGTTCCGTGATACAGTTCAATGTTGGAAATTTACCCAGAGCTTGGAAGGAGAGAGAGCAGTGTCTCTGAATCATATCTGGCAGGGCTGGGCAGAGACCATCACACAGCTAGACCTGGTGTCAAACTGACTTGGTCTTCTTCTGGACTGGTTAGAGGGCAACCATAGTCAGGGATCAAAGGCCATAGGTTCAGTCCTCATATGAGCCACTCAGATTTTGAGGGGAAAAAAGGGGGCAATTAAAAATTTCTGTATACGATTCCAGTCAACCATAGCCCAGGATGGTCGTTCAAGTATTGGGCGTGGATTGGGCAGAACCATCCACATTTCTTTTGTATTATAGGATTAAAAACAAATATCCTCATCTCAGATCGAGAGTGACCTCTTCCCCTGCTATCATGGGATCATCAGTTTAGAGCTAGAGGGTACCTTGGAGCCCATCAAGTCCAATTCCCTTATTTTACTGATAGGAAACTGAGGCAGTGATTAATTGACTTCCCCAGGCTCACACAGGAAATAAGGATGTGGGCAAAATTAGAACTCAGGTCTTCCTGACTCCAAATCCAGCACTTGACCTCACCTTGCTCTATCTCACCCCTTTTCTTCTACCAAAATGGACCGAGTGACATTGTGGCATAGCAGGTGGTATTTTGGACCTGGAGTCAGGAAGACCTGGGTTCAAATTCTGACTCAACAGTTATTAAGCTTCTTGAGAGCAAGGATTACTTCACCATTTGTATTTGTGTCCTCAGTATCTAGCACATAGTAGGCACTTAATAAGTGCTTGTTGATATGATTCCAAGGACAAATCACTTAGCCTTTTTGAAACAGTGTATTCATCTGTAAAATGGGGGGGGGGGTGGAGCAGATTAGAGGCCCCATTAGGTCCTTTACATCTCTATAATCCTATGGAAACCTGGGCTCTAGTTTTGATTCTGCCACTCACCAGCTTTGTGACTTAACCCCTGAGCCTCAGTTTCCTCATCTGTAAAATGGGAATAATAATGCCTGCATCATCGGCCTCTTAGGGTTGTTCTGAGGTTTTGACATACTGTACAAATGGCATCAGGGCAACGAGATTTTTAAGAGAGACTACAGCTGTTAGTATTTCAAATTTGTTCTATTTACTTGAGATTTTGACCCTTACCTCTTTCTAAAAGGACTTTAGGCAGATTAAATTGTGCCAAATGAGATACTGAAGAAGAAAACTGTAGAGAGTCTATCTGAGGAAGGGGGAAAGAGTAGGTGCTTTCAGGCACAAGAGTCAAGCCCTTGGGCACTATACCTGGCCCCAGGTCCTCTGGCAGCTCAGGTCAAACGAAAGGAAATTTACACATGGGTTCATTTTCTAACATCAGAAAACATATTGTTTGGGTGTTCAAACCTAGGTTCCAATCCCAGCCATTGTCACTTATTACCTACCTAGTCTTGGGCAAGTAGTTTTCCCTTCTAGACATTAGCTTCTTTGTTGTTGTTTAGTCATTTCAGTTGTGTCCTACTCTTCATGACACCATTTGGGGTTTTCTTGGCGAAGATACTGGAGTGGTTTGCCATTTCCTTCTCCAGCTCATTTTACAAATGAGGAAACTGAGGCAAACAGGGTTTAAGTGACTTGCCCAGGGTCACACAGCTGTGAAACATCTGAGGCCATATTTGAACTCATGAAGATAAGTCCTCCTGACTTCAGGCCTGGCACTCCACTGTGCTACCTAGCTGCCTCATCAACTTCTTAATTGGTAAAAATGAGGTGAGGGTGTTGAACGAGATGATCTCTGGGGTCCTTTTCTATGATCTCTGATCCTATGATTGCCAAGATCCCTTCTAGCTCCCAAATCCTACAATCTTAAGCAGAACTTAAGACCACTGTGCACAGAAGAATCCTCAGAGGCTGGCTCTCTTTTTCAGGCAGAGGGCAGGACGTGTGAGGACTTCCAGGAAGAAGAACATTATGCCTCATCCCTTGGGACCTCCTTTACCCCTTTTGATGAAGAATTCACCACTTCTGCCTCTTCCTTCTTCACTGACCACCTCACCACAGAAGGTACATCCAGGCAGAGCCATAACTAGGAAAGGCGAGTGGGGTGTTAGTCTAGGCCACCAAAATTTAAAGGCTGTCATAGCTTTCACATTCCAACCTTGTAAAAAAATCAAACTGAGCTCAGTATCTAGTTAGCCAGAATAATTAGTTAAAATAGGAAGCTGCCAGATGGCATGCTTGCTCCTCCTTAATCTAACTCAGTCCTCAGCCCCAGCCCTCTCCCATGAGGCTATGACTAGGGTCTCTCTCCCTGTGCAGCCTTGTCGCCTAGAATCTTTACCAACACTCTCCCCAACTAAATTTGTCTTTGAAAGTTGCTTGAGAGCTTGTTTTATGCCAATTGTAAAGTTTGTAAAGTTTGCCTTGGGTAGCAAAATTGACCTGCATCCAGAAAATTGTAAAGGGCAAGGACAGGAGAGAATCATTGAATTGACATCTGATTCATGGATTCGTCATTAGATCCTGAGAAACAGCAGGGTTAATGCATACTCCAAAAACTTTCCTTCAGATCTCTATCTGAGGGCCATCTTCGCAAGTCCTGGGGATCAACCAATCAATTGGAACAACACCCATACTTGAAATAAAGAAGGAAAAATATTAAATTTTAGGTGGAGGAAAATAGTAGCCAAAGGTGGGGATGGGGTGAGGATGAGGGAAGGTGACATAACATAAATAGATTATATCACCATCAAATTCCCCAGTAATAACTGGAGCCTTAATAAGCATGTATTAAGTACAAAAAACTTGTACTAAGAACTATGGGGAGATACACAAGAAGAAGAAAAGATCAGAGGGTAACTAGGGCAGGGCAATCAGAGCTTCATTCTAGTGCCTTGAAACTTAGAGGGCATTGATAGCACTTATGCTCCTCTTTATATAGAAACACAGAATTCTATAGGTTTCTATATTTTGCATTCATATATATATACATATACATAATATGGCATATAGAAACAACTCAATTTAGCACCTAATTAGTTAAAATAATTATAATTCCCTCCCCTCCTTCTCTGTCCCCCAAAGCAGTAGCACCCCATGAAAATCTCTGCTTGGCCCAGCCCAGCCCTGCTCTCTCCTCTTTATCCAATGACTACATCCTGGGGTCTGTCACAATAACAGAAGAACCTGAGGTCCAAGGGCTTTTCACAGCTTTCCCCAATTGAATTTGTCTTTTAAAAAAGTTAATTTAAGAGTGCCTTTCATGTTGCTTACTTCCAGCCCCCTCACCTTTTTTTCCCTGCTATAATTTGACCTGGGCACCAGAATTACTGGTTAATTGCTCTGGAAATAATCCTTACCCTGAGGAGCCAACTAAGTAAGAGTTCTCACTTGAGTGAAGAAATCAGTCAGTCAGTCAAGCAACAGGTAATTACTGAGGGCCTCTCAGAACACTGTGATAGGCACTCTGGGGGATGCAGAAGAAGTACATGACATGACTCCCTCCCTTTAAATAGCTTGCAAGCTAGCTGAAGAGCACACTTGAACCAACTAGAATGCAATCTTTGCTAATCTGTGTGCTATTGACTATGAGCCCAGTGGCAGTTAGTAAAGGAAGAGAAGCTTAGAATACTCCAATACTGGTTCTTGAAGGAGGTGGACGTGGAAATGGGCTGTGAAGGGAAGGCAGGATTTCAGTAAGTGGGGGAGAAAAATGAAGGCATTCCAAGGAAGGAGATAAATCCTTAAACTCTGACTCCAGCTCTAGAATGTGGTATGATGGAAAGAAGATCTGGCTGGGAATAAAGGGACCTGGGTTATTTTCTCTGACTGTACCACCCACGAATTGTATGACCTTGAGCAAGTCACTTCCTCTCTTTGTGCCTCAGTTTACTCCTCTGTAAAATGGGGGGGGCTAATCTCTAAGTTTCCTTCCAGCTGTAAATCTTATGCACCTAGGAAGCACCTGTGCAAAACAGAGATTCTTAGTTTCACATACAATCCTCTTTTGCTGTTCTATGAGAGAGAGAGAGAGAGAGAGAGAGAGAGAGAGAGAGAGAGATTCCTTTTATTTGGTGTTTGTTTGGAATTTAAAAAAAAATTTACAAAGAGGCCAAAACCACAGGTTTTACTATTATATGGACTGATTAGTTTTATCCTTTGTACATAACCAAAGATTGCACCATAACCCCAGCCACCACCTTGAAAAGGGGGACAAAAGAGAAAGTATGGGCGAATTATTATAAATATCCCTTTCATTTGGGCAAAGAAAAGGGCTTGTTCTGAAGGCAATGGACCAGAAGGGTCATTTTCCCCAGCAGGGGATAGTACATTTCACTTTTAATTTGTACTACTGACATATGGTTTCTTTTGAACCCAGGAGCCAGAGGTATCACTCCCAATCCCTAACAGTCGTTACTTATAGTAATAATGAATATCAATCCATAGTCTTCCTGCAAAGGAAATAACAGAGCTGACCATATTGCCTTTTATTTTTTATTTATTTATTTTTTGGCTAGGCAATGGAATTAAGTGACTTGCCCAGGGTCACACAGCTAGTGAGTATTATGTGTCTGAGGTCGCATTTGAACTCAGGTACTCCTGAATCCGGGGCCGATGCTCTATCCACTGCATCACCTAGCTGCCCCCCATATTGCCTTTTAAGTCTTGTTATTTTCCCTCCAACTTTCAAGGAGTCTTGGTCAATGAATACGTATTTAGTCAACCTCCCATGTATTATGAATGGGACAAAAGTTAGATTTGGAGGAGCCAGTGACATACATCCCACCCAAGGAGCCCCTCCCACGTGTGTGTAGGAGCTACACATTTCCAGTTTGAAGGAACTCAGCTTGGAAGGGCTGCAGAGAGGGAAGGTGCATGGGTGGAAGGATACATGGGTGGAAGGATACAGGGATCAGTCTTGGCATCTGACCACTCAAGGGGCAAAAAGGTTTGATGCCAGTTAAGAGGCAATTCTCTTTCCAAAATATTGACTTTTTCAGGATCACTTCTCTGAGAAGCAACTAAAAACATCCCCTTATGTGAACCGGAAACAGTCAAATCGGCAAATAATTGGAAGCTGGTCTTTGCTTTGAGGAGAGACAGAAACACCTTGGTGTAAAAATAAGGCGGCATATTAAAAGCAGCAGATAGAGCACACTGGATAGTAATAACAACTGAAAATTGACAGGGCGGAGAAATTAAAATTATCAGCATTAAAAGAATAACACTCTACGATCATTTATTGTAGGGAGAGACATGTGTATTATATAAGTGCATACATGTATATATGCATAGCATATACATGCATATGTAAATATGTGTATATGTGTATGCATAAACATAGAAATATGTGTCTGTATGCATAAATATGTAAATAGGTGTGTGCATATATACATATAGGTATATACATGAATATATGTGTATATACATACATATAAATGCGTACATACAAATATGTGTACATATTGTGTGTGCATAAATATATGTGTGCATAAATATGTGTGCATGTACACATAAATATATAAACATGTATGTGCATAAATATATGTATATGCATGTGAATGTGTGTGCCTGTATGCATAAATGAATGTGTGTATACAAAAATACATATGCATATATATATACACACATACACACACATGCAAACACACCTCAATAGCTGCGATGTCAGGGTCCTACAACCTCTGACAACGAAGACCCCCTTACCTCTGGCTCAGGTAGACACAAAATAACGGAGGGCTCAGGTAGTATTATGGAGGTCACAGCTGCTATTGACCTTGCAAGGCAAAGTCATCATGTTCTTCTCTGTGCCAGACCTCCAGTTGCCTGCTCCCAGGCCTGGCACACAAGACTTCTCCAGGGACACCAGGTCCCTGGAACCATTCTGTTGCTCCGTGATCTGGTGACTCTTTTGTTCTTGGTTTTTTTTTCAATAAGAGAGGATGTGCAGCTGCAACTTATTGGGCCAACCCAAACACCACCCCAGAAGTTTGGGCTCCTCTACTCTTCTGCCTGCAGGCAGCCTCAGAGTGGGAGAGCGGCTGGTGTTCTCATTAGACTATTAGCAGCAGCTGCTGCCTTCTGGCCCCACAGCTCAGCTGCCTTGTCACCCATTTATGGCAACACCCTGAGGACATCATTGCGTTATAGTGTAGTCCTGCACAGCCTATGTGACACGCAATGTTCATAATGATGACTCCATAAAAACTAGATTAAGTTATATTCAGTATTCTCTATTTTAAAAACAAGAGGGAGATATATATATACATATGTATATATATACGTGTATATATGTGCATATATATATGAGACAGACCATTTTAGAAGTGTCCAAAATGGTTACTTTTTTTTAAAAAAGTTTGTGTTTAGAGGAATAAACTTCAATTATCTAAAAAATGCACTTATGTAAATCTCTTACATTCCTGAAAAACCAAGACCTAAATCTAACAGTTTTTTAAAAATCAATCTCTTTGGGGGTGGGGAGCAAGAAATTGACCTTTCAAACCTTTCTTTTTAAAATCTAGAGAATAAAACATAATTGTTTCATTATTTCTTCTTGTCTCCTTCTTTAAGATGACACAAAGTTGAATCCATATGGAGGAAGAGATGGTAAGTATTTACTGGCCTGTGTTTAGTTTAAATATATTTTGTATACACACGCGTATTTTTTCCTCCAAATTAAATGTAAGTTCCTTAGGGGTAAAGGCTTTTTACATTTTTGTCTTGATATCCCTGGAACCTAACGCTGTGTAGGCACTTAATTAGTGCTTGTTGTTGGATTGGTTGACTTCTCCAGATTTTGCTAACGCTTGGACTATGGGGCCTGCGCCCAAGGCACACACACGTTTTGCCTTTCCCCCCCAAAGTCTGGGGAGGGCTAAATCCTCCCGACACCTTCTGTCTTCCCGAGGCTATGCCCCCAGGGGCTTTGAGAAGATTGCTCCACTCTGGTCATTTCTAATTTCTGTACTCTCAATTTCACTAATAATTCTGCTTTCTTGACCCTCTGTGTGATTGAATATGTATAGCTCTGGAATGAAAAGGCAGCTTGGATAAGATGGGATGAGATTGCCTCATGGCAGCTCTCAGCAGATGGCTAATGGGTTTTCATCAGCACCAACATCCCAACCAATGAAAGATATAGATTTAGCTCTTTAAAGGCAGTGAGGCTTCCCTCAGTTCCCAATCTGTGTTGGCAGTAAACACGAAAAACTTGCAGCCTGCAAGGGTATTTGAAGGGTGAGTGTCTAGAACCCAAAGACTGCCCCTTACTCTCCACACTGGTACCCACTGATAATTATCTAGAAAGTTAGCATCTTGAAGATGAATGATTCCCTAAATGGGGTGCCACCCACACCTGAGCAGGACAGGACTCAGTTCCAGACTGCTCGCTGCTTCTTTAATGAAGTCTCTCAATGAACACAGAGTTCGATTGACAACCAGCCAGCCCACCCCCGGAAATGAGGGACTGTTATCCGGGAATCCTGAAATCAAGAAGGGAGCTATTAATGCGGCACCATTTAACCAGATCTCCAAGAACATAACAAATGGAGAGCAAAGACAATTAACCAGATCCTCTCCTCAGCCAGATACTCTGGTTAGGATGTAACCATCAGATGCTGGATCACATAATTAGAGTCACTGCAGACAATGTCTGATTTCTAGCCAAGTCAAGGGAAAGCAGTTAGGAGAATTGGCTCAATGATCCTACTCAACTGCTAATTAGAAGCTGGCTTTAGAGAGGTGGAAATTATAGATTATGGGGACCGGAGCAGAGCTGGGTTCTGGGGTTTCCTTATTATTTGCATTGTAGCTGGCAGCAGATAGGAGACCCACAGATAGGAGTCATTAGGGAGGCAGCCATGGGTTGGGGAAGAATACGTGATTCGCAGTCAGAAAGTCTGGGTCTGAATCTCATTGTCACTTATAACTTTGTGAGTTTGGAAAAGTCATATAACCTCCTTGGGCCCTTTGTAATATAAGGATTTTGGACTAGGTGGCTTCTAAATTCCCTTCCAGCTCTAAATCTGTGATTGTTTGATCTTAAAAGAGGACAATTCATCTTTACCCATCAATATGGTGATGATAGCTAGCATTTATATAACACTTGAAGGTTTGGAAAATACTTTTCAGATGCCATTTCATTCTATCCTCACAACAACCCTGGGAGGTAGGTGCTATTCTTATCACCATTTTACAAGATGAGGAAACTGAGGCAGGCAGCAGTCAAGTGACTTGTCCAGGGTAACCAGAGGTAGTAAGTGTCTGAGGCTGGATTTGAACTCAGGTCAACCAGACTCTAGGCCTAGTTGTCTGGCCACCTGGCCATCTCACTGATAGACCACATAAGAAGTATCTATTCCTTTTAGCTTTTCTCATCCCATCAAATTTCTATATAGAGATGATCAAGTATTTTTGTTTATCATATATTAATTCATCTTCATTCCCCTATTATATGGTGTCCTCCTAGGACAGAGATTCCTAACCTGTGTATAGATTTTAGGGGAATTCATGAACTTGGTTAGAAAAAAAATTAAAATCTTTACTTTCACTAACCTTTGGTCTATCAGTGAGGTGGCCAGGTGGACAGAGAGCTGGGCCAGGAGTCTGGATGACCTGAATTCAAATCCACCCTTAGACACTTACTACTTCTGTGACCCTGGACAAATCATTTAACCTCTGCCAGCCTCAGTTTCCTCATCTTGTAAAATAAGGCTAATAATAGCACTACCTCTCAGAGTATTCTGAGAAGGAGTCCATAAGTTTCACCAGACTGCACAAGGGGTCCAGGACACACAAAAAAATTAAAAACCCCTGTTCTAGAAAACAGGGACCATATCTCTTCCTAAATATGTATTTTAACACCTAGTCTAGGGCTATGTATATATGTACCCTGGTTAAGTGTATGCCCTTTTGGTTAGCTTATGGACCCCTTGAGGGATCATTCCAGAAGCTCTAATCTTTTCAATCCTTGTCTAGCTGTGCAGTTGGTAGTAGTACTATGTTGGTACTATGGGCTGAGGCTACATCTGTCTTTGTGCCTCAGGTTCAAGGCTTTCTTTTATTTAAAATGCAGGATATACTTGTGAACCATAAAAATCCAATTAAAACTACTTAAATAATTGAAGTTTAAAACATGTAATGCAAGCATGAAAAGAATATAAAATACAACTTTCCCCTCCACATCAGGAATTGGAAGAAGAACCCTACGGGCAGCAGGGAGCTCTAGAGAACACTTCTGGCAACTTTCCTCCCCCCCCTCACCCCATCCCCTCCATCCCCCTCCACCCCTAATCTTTTAATAATTCAAACCACTGGGCTTGCAGAACACTAGGTATTGCTGAGCCAAGGGATAGATAAAATGGAAAATACACAGGACACTGACCATAACAGCTGCAATGTGCCCGCCCAAGTTCCCACTACAGCTGGGCTGGTGAGATTGAGTTGTCCCTCCTTCTTTACTGTCCCCCTTGTGTTGGGAGGCCCATCCTATCCTGTTCCTTCCCAACCACTCCCTAGCTGCCTCCTCTTAGGTGTGGCTTTCCTTGTAGCTTCTCCCTCAGCTCTGTTCTTCTAGAGGAATAACTTTACTATATGGGTGAAATCTCACAAGTCCATACAAAAAAAAAAAAGATGTCAGAATTTGATGATACTGGTACCCATCCATCATTTTATAAGCCCTGTCTATTCTACTTTCTTTGTAGATCTACAGGACAACCTTTCTCCTAAAAAGAAGGGTCCTCCGGTGCATGCAGGGGTCATTGTGGGCATTGTGCTGGCGGTACTACTAGTTGTGGTCATCATCCTGGCTGGAATCTACATCAACACTCATCCCACTTCTAATGCTGCCTTATTCTTCATTGAGGTAAGTCTAGGTATAGGATTTAGCAGCAGGTTAAAAAAAGTTTTAAAAGCAGCTGTCCATATTCTGTTTGAGTCGCAGAGCAGATAATAGCATTCATAGCACTGCTCCTGATTCCTAGACCCCAGAGCATCATATTGCTTTTAAAATAAAAATAAGAAGCCCTCATTAAATCTGTCATAGCACTGTGTTGATTGCCAAACTGAGCAAACTGGATAACTACGGTCCTTTATGCTTTCCGAGTTCATTGTCTAAGAATCCTACATAATCATCGTAGTCAGTTCTTGCCATCCAGTTGGGCACTAAGGTGAGGAAGTAGGAAAGTAGGAAGTAGGAAATTGTCTCTCCCTTAGAGTGCACATTTAGTGGTTCAAAAACAAGTTTTGGTTGCTTTGGAAGCATCAGCTAAGTAAGCAGTTAGGTGGTGCAGCGGACTTGGAGTTAGGAAGACTTGTCCCTTAGATTTAACACTTACCAGCTGTGTGAACCCTGGACAAATCACTTAATCTCTCAGCTTCAGTTTGTTCATCTGTAAAATGGGACTAATAATAGCACTTTACCTCCCAGGGTTATTGTCTTTCTTATTCCAGGCCTGGTGCTTTATCCACTATGCCACCTGGCTACCTATTAGTACTTAAGTCTTAGGAAGCTGCTTGAGGTAATGAATGAATGAATGAATAGGTGAATGAATGAATGTAGGTACTAAGAGTCAAGTTGCATTGGATTTGAACCCAGCTCTTACTGTCTTCAAGCCTAACACTAATCCACTATACCAGGTATAATAATATTAATGATAGTAATAAATGATATTCATAATAATACTTATGATTGTGCTATTTTACAATTCCAATGAACCCATGTTTAGTGTAGATTATAGGTTTGAAAAATAATGTTCCATTCCTCCTCACTTTGAGCTACATAACTAAATTCTTCTCTCTTTAGATTGCCCTACCATTAGATTCCTTTGTCCAGCCTAGATTTTCCTCTTGCCCAAAACAGCAGATGTGTGGACAGCCTTAACCTCCAGCAAACCCCTAAACAACAGTCATCAACTAACTCTACCCATTACCCCAAAACCTGGTTATTTCCCTCACCTTCACTTGAATATCTTTCTAGTTCTTATAAGTTGACATTCACTTGAGTATCTTTCTAGTTCTTATAAGTTGACATTCCAATTTATTGAAGTAGCCTAGCAGAATGAATAAAGCTCTGGACCCAAATTCAGAAAGACCTGAGTTCAAATCCTGCCTCAGACACTACCTGTATGACCAGGGACAAGTCACTTAACATCTCTGAACCTTTGTTTCTGCATCTGTTAAATGGGAATGATAAGAGCACTGTCCCAATAGAGTTATTGTGAGGACCAAATAGTATATATATGTAAAGTGATTTGTAAACCTTAAAGCATTGCTTATTTATTATTTATTTGTTATACATATATATTATTTATTTATTGGTTAGCTATTGTTAAATTAGTTAAATGTGAGCTACTTTCTCAAGTTCTTTGCAGGGTTTCTTAACCTGGTATCTGTGAACTTTTTATTTTAATATTTTGATAAATGTATTTCAACTATGTTTCCTTTACAGAGGAAACTTACATGTTTTATTTTATGCATTTAAAAATAATAGTCTGAAAAGGAGTCCATAAGCTTCACCAGACTGCTCTAAGGATTAAGAACTCCTGTTATAAAAGGGTAGTTGGTTTTCTTTGGTATTTCCAAACACTCTCAATTCTTGTCTCATTTCTCTGAGTAGCCTTTGCTCTTCCCACTGGGATTGGATCTCCACAGTCCATGCTCTGACTTTGAATATGTGTGTGTGTGTGTGTGTGTGTGTGTGTGTGTGTGTGTTTAACTCTGCAGCGGAGACCTCATCACTGGCCAGCCATGAAATTCCGCAACCGAACCAGTCATGGGACCTACACAGAAGTTGAGCCTTCAGGACAAGAGAAAGAGGGCTTCATGGAGGCAGAGCAGTGCTGAAAGTAGCATTTCCTCCACTCCTTCCCTCTTCTTCCTACCAGAAACAAAGACTCCAAACCCCAAACCATTGGTCTTGATTATGGAGTCTCCCCTTTTTTAAGATGAGCTCCATTCTCTTGAGGATGGGAAGGAAGACCCAATGAGACCCCAAAGTCAAGGTCAATATTGTTCTTCTTTTATCGACCGCCTCTTAACATTTCCTGGGGCATAAAGACAGGGCGAGAAAGGATTTGCCAGATCTACCGCATGCATGACAGCCAAGCCACAGAGGTTGAAACAGGAAATGCTGCACTCCACTCGAGCTTGCCGGGGAATAATAACAGCTTGCCCTCATGTTCCCCGGTGTCAATGACGTATAGCAGCTCCCCCATCCAAGTCTTGAAATATGTCAGTCTGCATCCATTCCTCCAGCCTCTTCCTGCATAGGAATGGAGAGGGTTTGAAGACCCTGCAGAACCTCACCTGGCCCGTACATTTGTTGTAATATTACTAAGACTAAAGGGTGCTGAGTCTCTACAATTCATAGACGTGAGAGCCGGTCCTCACAGCTATGGATCCAGCACATAATCAGCTTCTTTGGATCAGCCTGCCAGAAACGGGCATGCTGTCCATCTGCTAAACCCAAGCATTGCTGCACTTCAGTGCTCTTACCAGACTGGAAATAAACCACGATGTCAAACTAGGGTGAAATGAGGAGGGAGGACAAGACTTCTCTTAGAATTCCCATCCTGCCAACCCAATTACTCCTTTCCAGAAAATTAGTTTGGAAAAGTTGGAAAGGGAAAAACCTCACACCATGACCTGGTATGAAACATTGTTTTTACAACTCTGAAAAACCCACTCCTATTGAGAGTGTGGTGTGGTGAATAGAGAACATTGAAAATTAAGTCTAATGCCACCTCAACTCCTTACTAGCTTTGTGAACCTGAAGGAAATCATTTAAACTTTCTGGGCTTCAGTTTCCTCATTGTAAAATGAGGACTGGGTTTGATGATCTCTGTGGTCCCTACTAGCTCTGGTTTTCTGATCTTAGCCAAGCCAATAAGTATTTATTAAGTTCACATTTGGGGCAAGAGTGCGGAGATATAAAAAAAAATTAAAAATGAATAACAGGTAATGAAAAATGAAAAGCAGATAAGCTCTGAGGGAGCTTACCTTTTACTTGAGCAGGATATAGCAAATAGGTGTATACAGTTTTCCCTTCCTCAGCACCCGTAGAGGTTACCATATAATTTGAGTTAAATTAAGAAATTAAATGGGAATTTTGGGGGAGTTTTGTGGAAGCTGCAGATGACATGTTAAGGCCAGCAGATGACAGAAAAAGTTTAGAAACTCAGAAATGCATAAAATATATGAATAGTATTGTATAATATCAACATATTACAACAACAGAAAACAGAAAACTGGATGATTTTCAGGCTTCTAAAGAAGACAAAAAAGCATCTAAAGTTATTATTCATGAAAGGAACAACTGAGGCATTTCAAGTGATCTAGCAGGAAGGCAGGGCTCCCCTAACTGTTGACTGATTTTTTTTTTCTAATGGTATACTAGCAAGGCATTTATGGCCACCATGGGAGGTGTGGAGATTTGACATGGGGACAGAAAGATTGCATGTAATTTCTGTTGGAATCCCTGCAGGATGCGTACCACCATTTGGTCCACACATCCTCTAGTATGCGTTTTCCCAATCTGAGCCCTACTACTCTGGATTCTGCAAAAGTAAGTGCTTCAAGCTTTGGATTAATGAGTTGGTGGAGGCACTCTGCCAAATATAAGGTTCCACAGTGGAATCAGGAGGTGCTTGACACACCATCCAGTCTGGGTTAAGTAAAGCATCTGCTATGCCGGTGGTCAGAGAGGTGTAGGGCAACATGCCAGCCCTACTCATCTGTATTCATTAAAGAGAGGACAGAGGATATATTCCTTCGTGAAACCTATCACTGTGCACTCAGCACACAGGAGGTGATTGGGTGAACTGCCTGTTTACCCAACAACAATGACATTTTAACAGAACTAAGCATTCTCCTTTTTCTAAACCACCTCTTCTCCAACTTTGGCTTAAAGTGAGCCAGATGAATCAGGTACAGGGAGTAACTCAGGTTGAAAACCACTGGCATGATAGAAGTACGGATTTTATCCTTAATCTCAGAATTCTGATCCTAGACAATCAGAAACGGCCAGGAATACAAGGCACTCTGTACAGTGGAAAGAGCTCTGGGACCAGACAGAGGATCCTCCTTCAAATCCTGCCTTTGATACGGTCTGTGTGACCTTGGGCAAATCACTAATCTTTCCTAGGCCTTGGTTTCCTTATCGAAGAGAAACTCTGAAGTCTCTTCTAGTTCCATAGTTCTATGAACTAATGGCACTTTACGGAAGCCATTGTGTTTCTGGCGTATTGGATGGCTACCAAAAGATTCCCAGCTTTTCTTTGTGGCTTTGTTTTATGTTTAAGCTCTCTTAGTGTGATTTTTCATAAGACACAATCCCCCAAGTGTGAAGGATCCTCAGGAAATAGGATCATAGATCGAGAGCTAGAAGGAATATCAGAGGAACATCTAGTCCAACAGATAAGGGAACTGAGGCCCAGAGAAGGCAGGCAGACAATAAACATTTATTAAGCGGTAGCAAGCTATGTGCCAAGGACTGGAGATATAAATACAAAAAAAATAAATAAATAAAAAATAAAACAAAAAAACTCAGTTGCTGCTCAAGGACACACAAATAACAAATAGCAGAGCCCCATCTCAAGCCTGGGTCCTCTAGTGCCAAAGCCAGTGCTCAATATACGTCATACCACACTGACCATAAAGACAGGATTTAAGGAAATAGTTGAATTTAGTTGAGGGTGGTCAGAGAAGGGCAGGGGCTTCTGTCTCTGAAGTCAAATAAGCTTCCTCCACTCATAAAGAATATTGGTTGAGTTCCTTTCCCAAGAGTCTGATGACTATTCTCAATGCTGGTCCCAGACTAGGGGGTATTAGAAGTCAGTCACAGGAAACATAGCACCAAGTCTGAGACTTCTTTCTGTTAAACAATAACCTGCTCCCCAGTAAGGCCAAGAAATCCCAGGGAAACCTCTAATAGGAGCTCAAGTTGTAAGAAAAAAGGCCCTCCATGCTCAGAAACTCTTAGGAAAAGAAGGTCAGTACAGAGATAAAATCAGGTTATAAGCAATACTAGCCTCCACTTAAAGGGAAAGGAGTAATCCATTCAGGAGGCTTGCCATCCCGCTGTGAATTGTAAGCTGAGAACAAAAGATTCCTGAACAAAAGGAATTTAGGAAGTTTATTAAGTTGTCCTTCATAGGAGAGAGTCAAAATAGGTGGCTTGTCCCCTCTCTGCCCTCCCATCCACCTACCTCTAAACTATATAGGATTCAAACAAAGGAACAAAGAAACACTAGCTGATTGGTTAATACACAAGTTTTCCAAATAAGGCACAATAGATTAATTAAACTTCACATAGATTAATTAAAATGTACTTCTCAGGAAACTAGAAATTGAATGGAACTGCCAAACATCAATCTATGGGTCCCCTGAAATTTTCTGGGGTTGGTATGACCCAGAGTCCTAACTTAAGCATTAAACTAGTCTGATCTCTAAGCAATACACATCTGGTTTCTTGTCATTCAAGGCTAGATTCAAACAAATTAATAATCTTTCCTACAATTTAGCACTTAATAATTTTATGTAAAAAAATCAATTTACCTATAAGGTACATCCAAAACCATCCTGAACTTCTGAGGTCAAACCATGAGTATAATTGAGTGAATGAGTAACTGAGTGCAGTAGCATTTTTACCTTGACTAAGCACTTCCTCAGCTTTCCATTAAAGCCAGATATGATTTCAGTTTTAATATCTTCAAAGCCTGGTCTAAAGATTTGGGTCAAGCATCTTTCCCCAGAGTCATTTGGAGACACCTTTATAAGTTGGCCTAGTTTTTTTGTTTTGGGTTTGGGTTTTTGCTTTTTTTTTTTTTTTAAAGTTCTGTTTTAAAGGGACTATGTAATATATATGTATATATTGTATAGCTCCAAGCATTGGACTGGCCAGGGCTGTTAGCTGTGCTCAGATCCCTGTATTGCCCAGTTCTTTAAATCAAGACAGTGGAGAAATCTCTAGCCGTCAGTCTTTATAAGGACTGGACCTCGACCACTTTAAGATGACCATTGATTGAATTGTTAATGGGGGATGGGGGTGAGAAAGAGAATCTTAAAACAGGGTCATAAATGTCTTGAGTGTCTGCCTGCCTGCAGGTTCAGAACTCAGGAATCTTCATCTGATTTCAGGATTAAAAGAAAAACAAAGCAAAGTCACTCTTTTTCCTAATAGAAGCGAATTTCCACATACTTGAACTTCCAGAACTGGAAAGATCTGAGGATGGAAGGTCCCTCGTCATGAAGCGTCCTGGTTCATTGTGGATGGAATCCAGTGTTAATACTAAAAGAAACCATTGCCCTTGGACTGCCTTTTTTTCCAAATAAAAAGTGTAAATGATTATGGATGGCATTCTGCTACTCTGTATACAATCCTCTTAGTCATTTCTAGTCTCTTACATCCTTCCATTACTAAGTACTGTGTTTCGGGAAAGATTTAAGTCAGCTTCTGGCTATTGATTACAGATGGCTTATGCTAACCTCCCAGGGCAGCAGCCTGGAAATGTACTGCAGCAATATACTTTTCTGGGGACTTATAGTTCCCTAGAAGTAATTTATGGATCCTACACTATTATCAAGAGATAAAATAAATCTGATTAAGTCCATGCTGTTATTTTTTTTTAAACTTTGTGTTACTTTTAGTCCAAGGCCTTCCCTCCCAACAAAGGGAAGCTACCTTTCTGGACTTAACATGACAGGTAAAATCCTTGGAGAGCCTAACTCCAAAGAGAGAAGTCAAGTTTCTGTCTATGACTCTGGTTCATTATGCCCCAATCCCAGAATCTTACGAGCAATCTCTTAAAACAAGGTTAGGTATGGGTCATAACTAGGGTCTCTCCAAAATAAGTTAATAGAATGGGTCATAGAAAGGTACTCATTGTACAAAGAGGTACATATCAGGAATGGGACAGCTACTTTTTTCCTCCATCACGAAAGAAAGGCTTAATGGACAAAGGACTCATAGATGTGTATTAACAATATTAAAAACAGGAAACAATAACGCATCACTTCTATTATACTCTCCCCGAAGGTGTGCTTGCAGAACTGCTGAACAAATATCATACATTCATCATGGATATGGACTGTCTGGGCAATTCACAAAAGTGATTTGCCTGATCGAGCCAGCTGGTCTAGAAGCATCTAGCTATATTGGTTATAGCTACATGCTTTTAAGCTATAGCATCATCCAGATGGTGGTCATCTCTTCTGAAAAGGGTATTCTTACAGTAAACCCCTTCCATTGGACAGCCAGCTCCCAACCTCTTAAACCCATAAGATTAGTTTGAGAATCTGGGGGATCAAGTCTAGAAATATCTGGTTCTCAAGATTGGTATTCATTGACCTGGGCTCAGAGAAAGAAACTCAAAATGGAAGAACCAGTCAGTGACTTGAGGTTTAGTTTCAGGATGGCCTAGGCAAGAAAGTTCATGGTCTTCCTGCCATGTGCATGCAGTCATCATTGTTCCCTGGAGTAGGGGGAGGGGCAGAAGACCAAAGGAGGGCTGGTGTTAACTATATCTGAACAAAGAAATTGCATCAAAAGAGAACAGAACCCATCTCTCTTCAATCCTTTGTAACCTCAAAAATGAGCAGCTCTTCAAGGCTCAGTCACCAATCACATTCCCCCTTCCCATCCCCATCATGGGAACTGAAGGAACTTCTAGGAGCTGCTCTCACGTGACCATTAACAAGGGACTGGAGAATATAATTCACCAGAAGAAACCTGAAATCATGATGAGGTCCTGAGAAGTGCTCCAGACCAACACTCCCCACTATATTTATATTTTTAAAACAATTCAATTCAGTTCAATAAGCATTATTTAAGCAAGTATTGTGTGCCAGTCACTGGGGATGTAAAGAGATAAACAACATCTTCCCTAACTTCAAAGAGCTTACAGTCTACTGTGGGAAAATGGTGTCCACTGATAAGCAAATATAAATACAATGTAATCTTGTGGGGGTCTTCACTACAACTGGGGAAATCAGGTTGACACATACTAGTTGTGTGACCTTGGGCAAGTCATTTAACCCAGATTGCCTCACAAAAAAAAAAGAGAAAAAAGAAAGGAAATCATGAAAAGACTCTTGTAGGAAGTAGCCCTTAAGCTGAGCCCTGAAGAGGCTCATTGGAAGCAAAGGTGTAGAGAAGGGA